CTAGAGATAGATGAAAACTATAATAAAGAACATAGACCGAGGAAATATAGACACCAATTAATAATGATACAAATAAATTATACACGAATACATTGAACTAAAACATATTACAAGGGGAGGAAAAGAGAGATAAGATCATCGCATCTAAAAACATAGAAAGTATAGAAATAAGTTAGAGTACTATTATGGAAATAAATTACGAAATAAAAGAAAAGAGTAATAAAATAGACAAGTGAGGAAAAAGATTCAATATGTCTGAAACCTACACCTACTGGAGAGGAGAGAGAGGGGTGTATACACATATATAACACTCAAAATCACAAACTACAAATTACACGGCAGGGGCAAAAAAAATCACTTACAACAACACCAACCCACGTAACAAACTACACTAAAAACAACAAAATAAAAAACAAACAAAACGACAATAAATCCAAAACATAAAAACACAATAAAAAAAAAAATAAAAACAAATAAAAAAATAAAAAAATTGAAAAAAAACACCCAAAAAATAAAACGAAGGAAGAGACTAAATGATAATTCTCATCTTCTCACATTCACAGTTAAGAACTCTATCAAAGACAAAACAACTTTTTTTAATCTCATCAACAAGAGATTTCATTTATCTCTCCGCTATAACAATATTTTAACAATATCCTAAAAATTATCATTTAATGTAACATCACCTAAACTACTCAATCTACTCCTCTTACAATACATTACTAATAACAAACAATTTCAAAATAAATATACAATTACAATAATTATAAAAGATTAAAAGTAAATAAAAACTTAAATTAAATTAACCACATTTTTATGTGTATTCCCACTCAGCGTGTCCCTGCTAGATTCCACCAAGAAAACAAAACAAACGATCAGTAACTTACTTCTTCCATATTATATTTCTACAGCTCAGACTTGTTATCCCCGAGCAACACACACATTAATTCCTGAATCTTGGTATCAGAAACACCTATAAAATCAATCATGATACTACAAGCGCAAGTGCAAACCAAATGCTATCTAATTGGGAAATGCAATTCGACTATATTAAAGGGGATGGAAGGTAATTGATAAGAGCAAACGGATTGATATCACCCTCTCATCACAGATTACCGCAAATTTTACATAACCAGATACATATTTATCAATCCCTTATTCTTAGCGTCTTTACTTGACCAGATCTATTGTTAGACGATTATATGTAACACCAAAAACATGATGATCTTCTGCCTTATTACTTAACAAATTAATTACATAGCACATCGAACACAACCAGTGGCTAAAGGATCCTATTAATCAAACTAATAAGGCAATGGCAAACAATGATGATTGAAACTTAAGTTGCGTGCTTATAACATAAGAAAAGAGCAGTAGAATCAATGCCAGTCAAGTCAACATTCCCAAAACTATTTAAAGTGAAAAATAAATAAATAATATACCTAGAATTCAAGTATATCTTACACAATCTTGTGTACAGAGAAACTCCCAGTTTACTACGCAATTTCCACCCGATGGCGCCGAAAAATGCACTAGAAAAAACTCTTATCTTGTTATTTCTTAACCAGATAGGGAGGGAATAAAACTGATAGATAAATAAAATATTATTATAAAACATGAATCCAACACAAATATAACTTTAAACTTTATTCATTACCATGTATCATAAAACAATTTACTCTATTTATACAATTTTTAATTATTTCTATTCAACTAAATTAAGAATATTCTTATTAATAATTATTTTTTTTGTATAAAATTGAAAATCTCTCCACAAGTCTTCAACCAATATCCCCAAATATCAAAATTATCAAATAAATTACAATCACTCAAATAACTGGTAAAAAACCATCCAAAATTTCACATTATCAAACGAACCATGGAAATTTTAAAAAAAATACTAAATCTCTTCCAAACATTTTTCAAAAACATCTTCATTTTACAAGATTACAAAAATCCCAAATCTCAAAATAATCAATAAAATAGAGGGCAGAAAGACGAAAGGTGATGGGACATAATGATGAGCAGGGGAGAGTATCTGAGGCAGCACCACTATCAAAAAAAAGAAACAAGAACTCCTAATTTGTCAGATGATGGTCAAAAGATTTTATTTGAAAGTTTTAAAGCCCCAACATGAAATAAAGAGGCCTCCTCCCCCTTATGAGGTCTGTCTATGTGCCATGTAGCTCCTGTATTTCTAAAGACTAAACACCCTCACAGATTAATTTCTTTATATTTTTGATTTCTCATCTGGATCAACCTGATCTAATATATATTTCTTATATTCTATCATCCATCATAGACCACGGCTTCGCAGACAGGATTAAAATGTTGGGTTAGGCCCAAATTTGCAAGATTCCTACTCAGAATTTGATGAGCCTGTCATTCTACGCAATACTCTGATTATAGTCTTAATTTGAGTATTATATTTTTACGGTTCATTCATTTTGATTATTTTTCAATTATTTAAACTGATGTTCTGATTGATTCGTCACCTTTATTGTTTAGCTGTTATCAGTTTTGCTACATGTTCCTTTAAAGTCTTTCTTGAGGTAGATCTATAGATGTGAGTTTACCTGGCAGTTGTCAAGGTATTTCTCCTGCTAGTAGTGATTGACGGAGTTGAGTTCCGCGTTGCATTGATCTAGCTTCCACCTTTTGTTGATAAATTCGTTTAAGAATTTCACTTCGCGTGATTACCTCAGGCTACCGCCGACTGAAGGGGGCAGAGAGGATGCCTGGGGCCCGGCCGGGACCAGACGACCACACGCCCGCCCGTTCGGACGGGCCGGCGAGCCGCCAGGCAGGGGCCGCCGGTAGGCAGCGGCGGGCACGGAGAGCGGGGCGCGCTTACTGACTGGTATGTAATTCTGGTGCAGAATAGCAAATGTTTTTTGCCCCCAGAACAGCGTGCTAATGTTAAAACTACATATGTAGTCTAAAAACTCTAATCGTATAATGTAAACACCCCCTCCCCTTCAAGTCAGTAAAACCCTCATATTCACAGACATATTAAGCAGAAGACAGCCTCCAGTTGTCCTTATCAGCAGCCAGTTGTTCCTCACATAAAGCCTCTTTTTATCAGCTTGTCACAAAAAAACTGTGATTGTACAATTTGTATTTTTTACTGAATGAGCGGTTTTGCTGTAATCTTAAACGAATTCCGCAACAGTTATCCCAACCACAAGACTTTAATAGCCAAAAGTGGTGGCATTCATAATTAAAGCAATCGTACTGATAGGATAATACCTCTGCAGAATTTACTAGATGCTGAAAAAATACTAACAATTACTCTTAAAAGATACCTGCAGGGTCCTTTCCTTTATTGCCGCTTGTTCCATACAGCATCACTGTGAAATCGTAGTAATACAGTTGTCATGCTCAAGTGCACTTCATCAGGGGCCCTCGGAGGCTTGTGCTGACCAGGATAGATTGGACCATGGATCCTCTTGTTGTTTTCCATACTGCATTAACACCATTCCCCCCTGCTGACTGATAGTGAAAGCATCAAGTAAATGTCCCCCCAGCTTCTGTGTGCCCAGTGCCTGTACAACCTAAATAGAGTGTCAAGTGTGCCAGCAGTTGTGTACGCTCCTCCCCGAGCAGTGTGTATCTCCTGCTGGGCAGCTCCAACAGCGTGCCCTGCTGAAGTAGTCCATGGTGATGGCGTTGTTCCAGTAAGGGCTGAGGTTGTTTCTCCCCCCTGACTGTGACGAACTTCTTCTTCCTCCTCATAACAGCACACCAGTCCAAAAAGCACCAAGCTAGGTTAGGCAAAGAGCAGGAGTAGAAATTGTTGGTTAGGCAAGAAACTGGAAGTGCTGTTGCTTCAAATAGCCTGCTGAAAGCGCCCCAAACACACTGAGGTAGGAGGCTGTCATGGTTTTCACGACACCATGCAACCGTTAGAAAAAGTCTTCCCTTAAAGATAACTGTTTTGAAATAGCTACTGGTGCTTGTAGTAATTCTGAGCCTATTTAAAACAACCAAAGCTGTCTGCCCAGTAACACATTTTCCGGGAATCAGTACAAGAAAAATAATTTCATTATAAGGGGGAAGAAAATCCGATAATTTCTCTTCTCTAACAGACCGCAAAATGCAAAAAATTGGTTTGCCTAAGGTGCTACTCTTCTGGCTCAATGAAAGAAAACTCTACGCTCCCCCTTGCTGTTATATTGGCTATTGGGCACTTTCTCCCCCCAATTTAATGGCACAAGATCAAAAGGCCTGAACGGGTGTCTGGGGCCTTGCAAAAAGGCATTCTAAAAAATGAAGGAAAAATCAAATCCTGAAGAAAGTGCAAACCCAGAAAGTAAAAAAAAGTAAGGGGCATGAATGAGTAAATTACTACTTTTTTGGGGTACTCTTTTTGGGAAATACTTTATACTTTAAATGCTTCATTTCTGAGAGTTAAAGATAAGAAGATTAATAACACTGATATATCCATCTGTTCCTGTTACCTTAGTTTCGTAAAAGGACCTAGAAGGGCCAAAGGCAACCTATATCTTCTTATCTAACTCTCAGAAATGAAGCATTTTAAAGTATAAAGTATTTCCCAAAAAGAGTTATTTTGCAATAAAATGTAGTAATTTACTCATTTCATGCCCTTACTTTTTTTTTTTTTTTTTTACTTTCTGGGTTTGCACTTTCTTCAGGATGTGATTTTCCTTCATTTTTTAGAATGCCTTTTGGCAGGCCCCAGACACCCTTCAGGGCTTGATCTTGTTGCATTAAATTGGAGAAAGTGCAATAGCAATATAACAGCAAGGGGAGGTAGAGTTTCTTTCATTGAGCAGAAGAGTAGCACCTTAGGCAAACCAATTTTTTGCATTTTGGTCTGTTAGAGATAGAGAAATATGGATTTCTTCCCCTTTGATAATAAATTATTTTCTTGTACTGATTCCCGAAAATGTGTTACTGGCAGACAGCTTTGTTGTTTTAAATAGCTCAGAATTACTACAAGCACCAGTAGCTATTTCAAACAGTATTTTAAGGAAGACTTTTTCTAACGGTTGCATGTTGTCGTGAAACATGACAGCCTCTACCTCAGTGTGGGCGCTTTCAGAGGCTATTTGAAGCAACAGCACTTCCAGTTTCTGCACTAACCAACAATTTCTACTCCTGTCTTTGCCTACTCTAGCTGTGCTTTTGACTGTGTGCTGTATGAGGAGGAAGAAGAAGTCGTCAAGTCAGGAGAACAACCTCAGCTACTGGAACAACGCCATCACCATGGACTACTTCAGCAGGCACGCTGTGGAGCTGCCCAGAGAGATACACACTCTCGAGAGCGAGGTACAAACTGCTGGCACACTGACACTCTATTAGTGTACAGCACTGCACACAGAAGTGGGGGGACATTTACTTGATGTTTCACTATCAGTCAGCAGAATGGTTTTAATGAGTATGGAAACAACAAGAGGATCCATGTCCAATCTCTCCTGTCAGCAAGCCTCGAGGCCCCTGCTGAAGTGCACTTGAGCATGACACTGTATTACTACGATTTACAGTGATGCTGTATGGAACAAGCGAAAAAAGACCCTGCAGGGTATCTTTTAAGAGTAATTGTTAGTATTTTCACATCTAGTAAATTGAAGTATTATCCTATCAGTACATTGTTATTATGAATGCACACTTTTGGCTATTAAAGTCCTTGTTGGGGGATAATGTTGCGGAATTTTAAATTACAGCAAAACTCGTCATTAGTAAAAATAAGTAATTTACAATCACAGTTTTTGTGACAAGCTGATAAAAGAGCTTTATGTGAGGAAAATGGCTGCTGATAAGGACACTGAGGTTGTTTTCTGTAATATGTCTGTGAATATGAGGGGTTTTATGACTTGAAGAGGTGTTTACATTATACGATTAGAGTTTTTAGACTACATAGTTTAACATTAGACTGTTTGGGGCAAAAAACATTTGCTATTTTCCACCAGAATTACATACCAGTCAGTATATAGAAGGCTTTAAAGGAACATGTAAACTATAATGTAAGGTGACGCATTCAATTTAGCATCAATGAATAAAATGAATAGTATAAAATTTAATACTCAAATTGTTTTAACAGAGTTTGGTTGATGACAGGTCAAAAATATTCTGAGGTAGAAATTTGCAAATTTGGCTGCAGTATTTTATAAATCCTGTCTGCAGCCGTGGTCATGATGATGATAGATTAGAATAATATATTAGTCAGGTTGTCGAGAATATTCTGTGAGGGTGTTTTAGTCTTTAAATACAGGAGCTACATGCACATAGACAGACCTCATAAGGAGGCTCTTTAGTTTCATGTTGGCTTAAAACTCAAATATAAATCTTTTGACAATCATCTGACAAATTAGGAGTTCTTGTAGTGTGCTGCCTCAGATTATTCCCATGATATTATGTCCATAACCTTTATATTTCTGCCATATGTGGTCTGTATTACACAGAGTAACACTGAAAATAACAAGATAAGAGTTTTTTTAGTGCATTTTCGGCGCCATCTGGTGGAAATAGTAGTAAGGAACAAAAGTATTATTTTTCAAAGTTGGAATTAAATCTGCAATCTACCTGCTCTTCTTTCCCATATCATATTGTTTGCATTGCTTTGTTGCATGTTTGTCGTTTGCATGTTTTTGTCATTGTCTCTCCAGTGACAATTTCACTGTGTGTCTCCTTTCTCTTATTCCTCCACCATTGTTCATTTCACAATCCTTTGCCGCTTGTTTGGGGGACGGCGTCAGGAGAGGGAAGCTGAGGTTGGATCATGTGTGGGATGCCCCTGGTGAACACCCAGGTGTTCTTTTCCCCTGCTTTACCTGTTTCTGTAGAGCAGCAGCCTCATAGCTTCCCCCAGTGCTATAGGTAAACGACAGTGCTCTGGGAGAAATCATTATGAACCTAAATGTTGATTTGATTGGATCTTGCTGGTAAAATGGCCTGATTACTGCTGTAAAGCAAATCATTTTGTTTGTCACACCTCCCTCCTCTAGCACTGCCTTATTACTGCTGACTCACCATCAACAACCATTTCTACATCACTCGCCCCCTACATTAAGTTCCCCTGTTGCCTTGTTTCTTCTGAGTCATCCCTCCCTTTTGTCTCTTCTCTCGTGAAGCTTTTTACATTTTCCCCCTCAGCCTCCCTTTGTTTCTCTGCTCATCTAGCTTTGTCAGATATCTTTGTTCACTATCTCCTTAAAAGCCCTGGGGTGCACCAAACCCATATTTTATTCTGTTCACTTCCACACTAGTTTGCTCGTTGCCTGTAGAGTGACTTAGATACAGTAGACTGCAGTGTGTGCCCTAATGGTGAGCCCTGAAGCGTGAATTATGAATCATAGCTATTGTTTAACAGTTACGCCCCAGTGCTTCATTTCTTTAAAATGTGTATGTGTGCATTTGCAGGAGCATGACACCTGTCTACCCCCTAATGGAGACTACAGCGGCAGCAGCGTGGTCCTTGTTAACCCTTTCTGCCAGGAGACCCTCTTCATCAACAGAGACAAAGCTTCTGCCATCTAGAGACAAAGAAATAGAGACACTGTTGGGTCCTCCTCTTCTGCTCCCCCTGCTGTTGTTGTCTATTTTATATATGTGGTAAAATTATTCAGAGACTTTGACTTTATACTGTATATGACAAACACAAAGAGCAACCTGAAAGAAGAGTGATGTAAACAGACACTATTTACTATGAGAATGCACCCGCATATTTTTCTGATGTACATTTTCTACAAAAAGGCTTAATTGTGATAAGAGGTTTTTATTGTCTTTATAAAATACAGAGTATATGTGGTTTTAATTTCATTACAGTGGCTTGATGGTGAGTGCACTGTGGATGTCGCCACATGAAATCTGCTTTAGAGAGAGACATGTGCTATGAAAACATTAAAGCTGTTCTGTTGTAATTTTATTTTTCCTTTAAAATCAATCCCAAAATACTTATAGCCTGTTGAACTTGAATATAGCACCTACGTACATGGGGGGGGGACAGAGTTTTTTGGCAAAATACTCATCAGGGCCCATATTTATCCAGCTGAGAAATATGCTTAAGAATCCCCTGGAGAGCAAACTTAGGAGTAAAGAAGTTACAATAAGGCATATTTAAACAGCCACTTACTCCTCATAGGATAGTGTAAGAGTAACCTTGAATAGCAGTCCTCAAGTGATCCCATGATTATTCACCTATACAGTATACTCTGAGCAGAAATAGAGAGACAGATTTACTCTGCTGTACATCTGCCCCATCATTCTGTCTTTTTAGTTTCTTCATCCTTAAATTTTACTCTGTTATTCTGACAAAATATATGTGATTTACATTTTTTTTAAGTTCATTTTCTTTGTGTGAAATCCTGAATATCTCCTAAAGAAATTCAAATGTCAAATTTCCAACCATAAAATGTAATACGTGATTAATAATAAAACGTTTTATTTACAGTGCACTTTTGTAGATAATGACAAAAAATACTTTATTTGATAAGTAAAACGAAATCAAGAACCCTATACACAATACAACAGCAGACTAGAGCAGATCAGAATAAAACAAACATTTAAAGTGGCTATAATTCGTATTTTTATTATAATAATGTATGAAATAACAGCCCCCTCTGCTATACAGAGCTTTATAGCGAGTTTGAGCTCATTGTTTAGCAGTTTTATTTCACTCTCACCACTTTCATAGTGTCATTTTCCAGCTGTAGCAGGGAGCTGTTTTCAGAGAAAAGGCTCTAAAAACGCATCAGTCAGCACCAAACGACAGACACAACTAGAGACTTGCTGGTGAGCGTAGTTGTGCATTTAACAGTCAAAGAGCCAGATATTTCCATCAGAAGTTGGTGGAGACCAAAAACAGAGCTAAAAGAGAGTCAATATTGGACTTTCATCAGGTGATAAACCTGACTCCAAATGATTGATAATGTTGTTCGCCAATTAAACTTATATGTCAATGTTCACAACTTGTTTCTGCTGCCCCCAAGTGGCTCAAAAAAAGAAGGTTATTACAGGTTTGAAGCTGTTTTTAAAAGTTAAATAAGATGGATGAAATGGAAACAAATTGTTAACTGGAAAGTTAACTGCTGGTAGACAAGGTACATCAGAGAAATCATATAAGGGGAATTTAGTACCACATTGACAAGTAAAGACAATGAAGATGCATGAAAGCGATTGCAAACAATCAATGCCAGCTTTATTGTTGTTGTTACCTAACACCCCTGGAGATTTAAGAGCATTGTTAAGTCATAAGAAATGTGACAATTACCTTTTATTTTGAGAATACGTTTTACTTTCACGTGTGTCCAAAATCACAGCAGTTTGGTGAATATGGGCCCTGATTTTAATGGTTAATTTGAGCTCGAAAACTGGGTGATTTGGGGTCTACATGCTGCAGTTTGGACTGATTTTCCCCCTCAGTGTCACCAGCTTCTCTTAAGAGGGACCACATAGATGTCTTAATCCCTATGTTGGCCCTTTATATATCAGTATGTGTGTGTGTGTGAGTGTGCAGTAAAGTGGGGACGGATGAGTTCAAATTTGCTGCCCCCCTTCACCAAATATCACTGTTACTTTGAGTCGAAGACTTTGTATCACTTTCAGCTCAGTTTTATCTGTTTTTCTGTGTCTGTCTGTCTGTCTGTCTGTCTGTCTGTCTGTCTGTGCCTCTGTATGTGTCTGTCTGTCACTTGTCTGTATTGTGGAGTGGCTACTGGTTATATCCCAGTTTGAGAAAGAGTTTCTCAGCGGTGTAGGAAACAATTAGACCAACCTTGCTACTGTAAATGTCTCCCTCCATAAATAATGTGTGTCCATCAATGCAAACTGTGTTTGTTGAAATGTTGAATGATTGTGAATTAGTTGCTGGACCACATAATAAGTGTTAGAGGCTGTCGAAAATGTTGACCAATAAAAACAATGAACTAAATAATGTACGCTGAATATTTACTGTGAGCACATACAGAGGCAGTTTAATTATAAAGAAGTGCGTTTGAATATTTTGTTTTTTAATTATTGATACTGTGGTCCTTCTATCATCTGTTTTACTTTGCATTGCTGCAGTTTTTCTTCAATAATCAATGCTGCCTGCCTCTATCTTCGCTAAAGATCTTCTGCATTGTGAGATGTTGTTCGGGAATCACCGATTCAAAGGGCGATGTTGAATAACATGGTTAAACATATTGATATTTCCTGCATTGGATGCTCACAGCTGGGCTTCTTGTTTTGCACGCTCAAAAGTGGATATTTTACAAAACGTTCAGTGGCACGGTGGAGCAGTGTTCAACATTATGTATTTTTTGTACTGTAGTATACACTGTACTTTTTACTGCTGAGCAATAAAACAAAGAAAAAACACACTGACTGATCCGTTTCTCTGATTTATCCTGTTGAAAACTGACTTTAATTTAACAGAAACTTGGATTCCCTGATGGATGTATGTATGTGTTTGTTACATAACACACTGGTTAACTTTATAACAAAGGAGCGTAAACAGTCTCGCCGACCACAGCACATTCATTGATGCAACATACTGGAATTTTCTCTTTGTGCACCAGTGCTGCATCTGGTCCAGTGACCTCCAGCTCTGGGAACATGACGTCAGTTCAGTAATCTGTTTACATGCCTGCTTTACTGCTGAGGAGAGGCTTAATTTGATGTGATTGTTATTATCAAATTACTAGGCCTGTTAAAATCTGGCAAAACATCACAGTCCAACTTTTGACATTGTCTTTTTTTTGTGCCCATATTTGAAAATCTTTATATATTAATGCAGCTACATGCTGTTTGGTAAGCCAAATACATGTCTGGAAGAAGCAGAATTGCAGGATTATTATTCTATTTAAATATTTTTGGAGGTTATTTTCAGTCAAAATAAGATGTGCAAGTGCTGATTAAAATTTTAAACATATGCATTCACTTCACTCAGGTGTGTTGTTGTTCTGTCACTCATGTCATGCAGTGAATTTGGTCATAAAATGAAAACAAAAACATTTCTTCAACTATGAGACCACTTAAAGAAATGTATATGTTAAATGGTAAATACAAATGTCTACAATTAAATACAACAGATTTAAAACATATATGGAAGCCCAATTCGCCAAGGGGAAAAAAAAGTGAAATGTAACCTTAAAAATAAAACATCTTCTCAATTATTAGACTACATATTAAGTCACGACTTTTAAAGTCAAACTTATAAGCTATAAAGTCAATAGTCATGGCTTAATAGCTTACCATGGCTTAGTATCTTACCATTTTGAGACATGTCAATAACAAAAATACATACGCCTAAAGTGTGAAGCCAAGTGAAAATGATAAGATACTAAATCATGACTTTACCGTCTGACTTTTAGCTCAGTGTCAGATGAGCAGCAAGTGGAGTCATAATTTTGATTTAGAACCAGAATCAACTTTATTTTCCAAGTATGTGTACATATACAAGGAGTTTGACTGTGGTTTAAGTTGCTCTCAATGTTACACACCTATCAAAGATAGGTCATTATAAACAAAGAAGTACTGATACATTTAGTTTTAAAAAAACATACATTGTCTACTGTACATACAAGTCAAGTAGTTCTGTAAATTGTAAACAATACAAATAGTGCAAAGAAATAAGTACTGAATGCACGAAGTAGGTGGTTATGTACAAGTATATACATGTATACATGGTTATATAGCCTATATGAGTGTATACAGGGAGCAGAATTTATATTTGGCAATGATAGATGATATGTTAATAACAGTGTCTATTTTAAACTGTAAATATATAATTTATTATTTGTGAATGGGTGTATTAGTGTTACGTTAGGGTACATTATATGAGTGATTTAACTATTTAACTATCTATATCTTTACAATCATTTATATACACTGGATTGAACCAAAGAAATAACTAAAACAAACAACAACAAAAAATAAATCTAAAATACATGTTGAATGCAATTAATTTAAATGGGATAAATAATTCAAATATTATTACATAAAAACACAAAACTTAACATAATTTTTCTGTAAATATTTGTTTTTATTGACATTTACAATGCAGTTTCAATATACAGTACTTAATAATAATAATAATAATAATAATAATAAATATGATAATAACAATAATAATAGTAACAATTTACCAACTTAAATATGACTAATGAACCAAAACAACAAAAACCCAGACAATATAATAATAAAAAATTTAAATAATAATAATAATAATTAAACATAAAATAAATTCAATAAACGTAACGTTAATAAAGAAATAGATGTATAAATCATATATATACAATATAAGTAGTGCAGCATTAAAAACAAGTAACCTAATCATTAATATACTGAACAAAACTAAGTAATAATATAACAGATTTAACCAAACTTAAATATGCATACTTACGTAATGAATACCAAAAACAACAAAAAACCCAGACAATATACATACAGAAAAGAAAGAAGAAAGAATAATATATATAATAATAATAATTATTCAACCAATCAACGTAAAATAAATCCAAGTAAACGTAAAACAACGTTAATTAAAGAAACAGATGTACTTAATCATTATACGTTATATAATAGCACATATAAGAAGTGCAGCTCAACAAAACACCCTATTTAAACCTAATATACTATAATTACTAATATAGACTAATAATCTTACTAGAACAATAATAGTAACTATAATCATACATATGATACTAACAGTTACCATATTTTAATATGCATAACTAATGAACAAAAAAACAAAACACAATATAATAATAAAATAATTAATAAAAATTATGAAACGTAAAAATAGAATTCAATAAACTACGTAATTATAGAAATATATTGTAAAATCATATATACGTATATATATACACAATATAAGAAGTGCAGCATTCAAAACACACTATACTAATATTACTAATATTACTAATATTACTAATAATACTAGAACAATAATAAGTAATAATAATAATAATAATACTAACAATTTACCAATTTAAATATGCATATTACTAATGAACCAAAAAACAAAACACAATATAATAAAAAATAAATGATAAAGAATAATAATAATAATAATAAAAATTAATAATATTAACGTAAAATAAATTCAATAA